TCCAACCCAAACCATTCTATAATTCTATAACCCTAACACCTGGTATAAGAGTCTGGAGCCTCACTGCAGTGCTGGGCTTTAACACAGTGTCAAGAGACCCCTTACAAACATAGAAATAAGAATGTTTTCTACTGACATCTTCATTTACCTCTCCCAGCAGTACAAATTCCTTCTTCAGCTCCCCTCACAACTTTTCTACAGAGGTAACAGCTGCATATTTTGTTTCCCTGAGGGTAACATTAACCCATGAGACAGAGTGAAAAAGCTGAGAGTGCACAGGTACTGGTAGTGCCATGCTGTCTCTTTCTTGCCCCCCCCCCCCCTTTTTTTTTTCCTTTTTTTTTTTTTTTCTTTTAAAAAAGAGAAAAAAAAAAAAAAAAAAAAAAAATCACTAAATGCATTATCATGGAAGTCAAAGAAAACTCTCTAAGCAATCTGCCTGCTTGGAGTTTTTTCCTTGCACTTTTTTTTCCCTTTAAAAAAGAGAAAAAAAAAAGAAAAAAGAAACAAAGAGGACAAAAACATTTGAGAGCTTCTTAACTTCTGTATATTGGCTGGAGATCTGCTGTTTTCCATGTTTTGAGGAAAATCACACCAGCTCAACCAAACCCCAAAGCCAACCTGCCATAAGGAGGCAATATGGACTGCAGAATCCCAGCAGAAGTCCTTTTATGGAGGGGTCTTTGGGTCACTTGCTGTGTAAATATTGTGACAACTGAATGTATTGTCTGCAAATACGCAGAAATTCCCAGATTCAATGGGAGATGTGTATATGTCAGGCTTTAATTCTAAGGCATAGTTCATTTCTTTCTTTCTACCTAAATTAAGGGCCTCGGACAGCAGTATAGAGCAGTATATAGTCCCTCTCCTACTGTTTCATCTCATCTTTTGCAGAATATGTTGGCTTTTTTTTCTTCAGTTTACCTTTAACGGGCAAAACCTCTCTCTAAAGTGAGCTTTCCTGCTTAAAGAAATGCATTTTTCAATTATATTAATCACCTTGTAGTAATTGCATAATGTTTAAGATGAAGAATAAGTCTCTGTACAAATCATATTAACTATATGCACTAAGGAATTGAGAGAGAGGTACAGTCCACTGTGGTAAAATCTATAGCATCACTTGTGCTTTACTCTTGAGTAATGATGCAGAGCAGAGCATATGATACCCAGTGCAAATGGAATTGCTTAATTAATCAAACACATCAGTATTCAGCGTAAGGTTTTCACAGACTTAAGAGAAGCATATTATTTAAGCGTTCATCCTTTACTCAGAATAAAGTGATTTATATTTGTTTTCTGCTATTTCCGAAACAATACCACTCAGGTCTCAGAGTCACTGCCACAGCCACCATCCATCCCCACAGCCCTCCGAGGGTACCAGGGTACTGAAAACAGGGTAACTGTTTGACTCCAGGAGCTGGAGCAGTAGAGATTCCGCAGTAACACTGCACCCTCTCCTGGCCAGTAGCAGCACTCCTGCCTCCCGGGGCCAGACGTGCGACCTTCCAAAGCCACAGACCACAAAACCCTGATAGCAGCACCCAGTGCAGAAGCTGGGCCATCGCCCCAGGCCTTGCTGCCTTCTATTTTCAAAGAAAAACACACAACCTGTGCACTGCCTGCAGTGCAAGCCCACAGTTAAATGTCTAAGCTCAAATCCTGTGCAGCTGCAGAGCAGAAAGGCAAAGCCTGAGTATCTCAGCAGCCCTCAATGCATGCTGCCTCCAGCAACTCAAGACCCAGATTACCTGCTGCTGCTGCCTGCCCTCCCTTTGTGCCAGCACAGCACACTACATATGGGGTGCTAGAACAAGACCTGAAGCAAGTGGACGCTTATTCTGATTTTACTTGAATCCCGTAACACCTCTGGGATGCCACCAAACAAAGGCACAGACACACAGATCAGCAGCACTGCCAGGCACGATTCCGAGCTGCAGCCAGCAGGCGGCACCAAAGATTCACCTGCAGCCGCTCTTTCATACTCCGCTTTGTGGGAGCTCAATCTGAATCAACCTACACGAGTTCAAACACCAATCAGCTATAAATGCTTGGAGCAGAAATGCATGGAATTTCTTATCTCTACCTCAGGAATTCCCAAGATGCAATCCCTGGAAACAGGGCTGGATCATGGAGAAGCATCCCTGTACGTACTTCCACTCCTCCAGGAGCACTCACGGGGAGTTTAAAGCATGAGTACCAGAAGGGGGCAGCAGTACCCTGGCAGCTGGGGGAATTGCAGGGTGCAGGTCAAGAATGAGGCAAACTACCTGTATATTCAAGGTGTTTCTCTGCTCTAAACACTCAAGACATGGTGGCTCAGGGCTTTAGGTCTGGTATCTTAGAGGGACATGCCCCTGAAGCGGATGGACCTTTGGTAACAGTCATATTGTATCATAAAAGGTAAACCGAACAACAGGGAGGTGCATGGCACAGATGTAATATACTTTGAAGAACTGGTGCAAGGTGAGGCAGGGGAGCAGACAGGTGAGTGTGTAAGGCATGTAATTTTTATGTTTCTAGCTGCAGCTAGTTACCTTTTAAACTCATCATGATAAAATTCAGATTTGCACGTCACCATCTCACTGGCTTGACTGTCATCACGACTCCTGACGCCGCCAAATACATAAAGCTCAGAGGCAACTCCACAGGCCACTGCCCCAAACCTGAGAATCCAAATGAGAAAAGTAAGTAAATGCAATATATAAAAACGATTTCTCATATCCTTCCGAACTTTTCCCATTTTTTACCTTTTTAAAAATTTATATACACGAATACCCCTTATGTTCAACTAGATGAGTCATGAATATAAATTATAAGCACCTAATTCAGACCATGTAAAAGAACAAAACAGCGAAGTATTAATATCTGGAAAAAATTCTCCATTACCAGTTGAACTACAATTTCTAGTTTTCATTTTGCATCAGGGGAGTATTGCTTGTAACATCAGAAGCGTGTTTCTACAAAATCCTTTTATCTTTTCTCAGCCACATGGTAACTACAGGCCATCAGGAAGACACGATGAAATTCACAGTCCATCTTCAGGGATTCATCAGAGAAAAGACAACTTCCTCTCATCAGAGTGTTAAAGAAGTTTGTACACAGCAGCCTAGGTCCCCCCTTCCATTTTCACTCACCTTCTCTCTTTCAGAGGACAGATTGCTGTCCACTGCTGAGTCCTAGGGTCGTAACACTCAACAGATTCAAAGAGTTTTCCATAGGAGCCTCCACCCATTGCATAGATTTTCTTCTTCATAGCTGCATAGCAGCCAATCTTGTGGAAAAGAAGAAAAAGCAGATCTAAAATGACACACAAATGTACAGTATCGAGAGCTCAAAACTATCTATATACACATACACACACGTATTTAGTTGGGTTGCCTGCACTGCATGTCAATGCCACGCATAAAAATCCTCAGCCACAGTTTTGTTACGGTATTTAAAGAAAGCAGCTGCTCTCTCATTTCATTTTGGGACTGTTACAGCTTCTACTTGAAGCAAAAGGTTGAAATACATACATATATGTTGCCATTAACTATTTAGCAGTAAGTGATGTGATAACATACGATGTAGTTTTTACCTTTCTAACCATGGTCAAGTCTGGCTGCTTGGTCCAGGTCCGGCTATAAATATCGTAGCTCTCCATAGAGATGAGCTCCCTTTCACCATCCTCACCTCCCAGGATATACAGAATTCCATCAATCTCTACCACACCAAAATTATGTCGTGCCTAAGGAACATTAATAAAGTCAACACTGTTAACACATAACTGCCACTGGGAACAAATCAGTACAATCTTTTTTCAGTATATCTGTCCGCAAAAGGATATTGCTAATATGCCTGGGTTTTTGTTTGGTTTGGGTTTTTTATGGTGAAGTCCTAAACTCCAGAATAAGGTTATTAATTTATTCAACTAAACAAAACAAAGGGTATTAAAAATATACAGAGCAGCAAAAGCCAAGAGAGACCACACAGAAATCTAAGAACAGGGCTTGGCCCTGTTTCAGTTTACACAGTAGTGGTTTCCATGATGAAGCTGTTGCTTTCAGGTCTCAGCAGCAGCAAAACTCAGATTCATTATCTGTGAAAAGGCAGCTCTTCTATTTTGTATGTAGGAGAACAGCTACCCTCAGTTGCACAGCAAACAGGAAACACAATGTATTGTAAAGTCTTACTCATAGTAAGCAGGAAACAACACATCGTAACTACAAATGTGGCCAAAACTACAAGCCTTTGCCAACCAGAGACTAATGAGGAAAATCCTGTGGCAAACAACAATTTCTTAATGAACACCCTATGCTGATTTAAGAAGATAAAAACACAGGTGTATTAAGGATGTATGTTTACAAATAGTAAACTGTACTTTTTGATGGAATGCAAATATGAAGAAGGAAGCATTAACTCAGACCAAATCTAAATAGGTATGTTCAAGCCAAGTTCTGCACGTTGGCCAGTCCTCTGTCCATCTCTCTACACAGTCCAATTCCTTTGCCCATTTAAAAGTTCTCTTGTTTTAGAAGGCCATATGCAGAAAATTAAGTAGATTATATGACTGATTGGTTATGAAATTCCTGAAATTTTGTAGTTCATCTTTACAGCTAGCTCTTCACCGATTGTTCAGTTTTTCCAGATCCAGCAGTCAGGATCAGACCATAAGCATAAGAGGTTACAAACACAAGTCAGTCTGTAGCGTGATTTTGAATGTGTAAGATGCAAGTGACTGGAGATTCACAGTAAAATTCCCAGAAGAAAAAGAACATCTTGACAAAATAACAACTTAAATCCCAACAGTTAGACAGAGATCTTGCCTCATTCATTGGTGGTAAGGAGCTCCATGAATTGGTATCTGGATCATATTTCTCCCCAGAGCTTAGCGTTCCCTTGTTTTCATCCTGACCACCAAGCACGAACAAAAATCCTTCTGTAAAACAAAATCCAACATGATGTTAAAAGCAAGACTCACACGTACACTGGGTGAGACGAGGTAAGCTCTACCCTGGAATTCACCTAGAGATTCAGACCAGTCACAGGTCAAACTCTATCCTGGAGAAGGTGAAGCATATGCTTCTATGTGGACTCACGTCTACCTTTGCAGGTACTCTTCAACATATTCAGTGATGCAGCAACTAGAATTTACTTAAGACATGGAATACTCCTGGAGAGACAGATGTAGCAGATTCCCACAAAACATTGGGGGAATAACACTCAGATGACAGGGATTTTCACAGAATCAAGTAATGTTTTGGGCAGACAAAGGGGAAGCATGAAATAACCCCAGTGCAGTCAATCTTAAAGAAAAAAACATTATAAGCTGTATTTTGAGGCACTGGTAAGTTTTTATAATATTGACTTTACAAATACAAAAGTTCCCCTTTACCTGCTGACAATACTCCATGATTGATCCTTGGAATACTCATAGGAGCAAGTTCAATCCAGAGCTGTCTATTGGGATCATAAAGAGGACACATACACCGCATCACTGAGGTTGGTTTCCGTGATCTGAACACAGGGGTGGGGAGGGAACAAACGAAAACAGAAAGACAAGACAGAGTTTTACGAGTTCACTGTTAACAACTTGTGTCCAAAGATTGCTTGTTGTAGTTTATCTGACTTTCATAAAGTGTGTCATTTCCCTGGTAAGAAGACCTCCAAACCAAATGTGTGTGAACTGAGTTTTGTACGGACATGAAACCAGATGCACTGCATTTGAACTCTATCTTCCTGTAACATCTTTTATGAAGGAGCTCTGAACAAACTAAACAGAACTGATAGAGAGTACTAGTAATGTCTGAGTAAAGTAATCCACAAACTGATGTGCAAAATATTATTGGACTATTTTATTACATTTCTGTAAAAAGCAAACATCCAAGTGCTGAATTTATTTAAACAGGACAAAAACCTCCCCTTCAGTACATGAGGTACCCAAGAAACAAAAGGAATTATTGTGCAGAACAGGAATTTTCACCTGGCATCTCAGATACACCAATAATGACTTTTTTTGGGGACCAGAGCTACTATAAACAAAACAATTATTTTTAAGATTTATTATAGATGCTTTTCAGATCATCTGAAAAGTGTTTCTCCAGTGTTCTGTGCTTATTTTGAGTAAAGCCTATTCAGTTAAATAAAAACCAGCCAACACTTACTGAACAAACAACACGTCCTACTCTTGAGTACATGCTGAACGTTAGAAAATTATCACAAAATAACTATTAATTGCTGAATCATTCACAAAGGTATTTTAGGTGTGTCTGACCAACTTAAAATCAAACTCAAATGACAGAGCAGTAAGCCCATGAGGTGCACATATTCTCACCACACTGGGTTTTCAGACATGCCACAAATGCTAAACACTTCTTACCATCTGTGACAACCTGTGGTGCCACTTCATACTTACACTCGCTCTTCTCCACCAACAGTCACTATACACTCTGAGTAGCCCCGGGGCTTGAAGGAGGCCAGCATCGCCTCTCCCTGCTGTGGTGGTGTGAGGGGAATGTTGTTGCACTCTTTGACGATCTCCCGTACCAGCGGTTCGCTCATCATCTGCTCACGTAAATATGCTGAATCTAAGCCCGAAACCCACACTGCTGACATGACATCCTTCATGTGAACCTACAGGAAGAGAGAAATGTCAGAAAACCCACCAAGCTTTACAAATCAGCTCTAAGGCACTACTACATTCAGAAGCTTCTATATTCATCAAAAACTTTAGAGTTTCTGTCATTTGAAATAACAAAACTTACAACACAGTGTTATTAAGAAAACGCATCAAGTCTTCAAAGTTTCACTACAGATCTGCTACTTGCTTTCTCTCCAAAAAAGCAACATCATATCAAATGCCAAAAAGTTTCTTTTTTCCTTAATGCCTATTAAATAATAAAGGCAGCAGACGATATAGCATCAACCCAGCCCTCGTCCTGATACTGCAATCCTGCTGTCTGCATTTCAGGCAAAATTCAACTAGTCCTATAAATGCAAGATTATTCCTGAAAGAAATGTATCTATTTCAAGTTCCCACTGTTGAAAATAAACACTCCCATTTGGGCCACATTCTAAATATAAACATTTGGATGTCCTGACCTTTCTTGATTCGGAATCATGAGAAATCCACCTAATCACTGCTTCAAAGACGTATTTTTCGTTTCCAACATTGAGCTTTTCCATCGACAGCACTTCTTTCAGTTTTTGAGGAGTCAGTTCCAAGAATTCCTCTGTGCTGCTGACATCTCGAAAGTGAGTTTCCAGATACTCTGAGGCAAGGTAGTGAACATGATGCAAACAATAGTGCAGTGCAAAGTCCCGAATACCAATACAGTTCTCAGCAGCTATGCAACCTTCTAAAAACTCACAGCAGAGAGTTTTTAAGTCTGTAAGCAGCAGGAGATCAGCTGCCTGTACCACATCTTGGATAGTTTCTTCATTTAGCCTGATCTGCAAGAATTAATTTAGAAGTTATAGCTACTATCTCACTCATTAATTTAATGACATGTCCGTATTCATTACAGTCATTCTCAGTGGCTAAAAAATGCATTAATGCTAGGATAAAACTTAGGAGAAATTTGTATGATAGAACACGTTTATAAATTAACACAGGGACTGAAAGGCATTTGCTTGACAAGAATCTTGTGCCTGAAGTAACCATAAAATTGCTCATCTAATCTGAGAACATAAAATGAATTTTGCCTCAATAAACAAATAATTATTTAAAATGCATATCCAGAAGAGAATTTCAAACCACATCTGCCTTTTCATTTTTCTGCTGAAAGTTAAACTCATTCAGCAATCTCAACCTGGCTCCAAATAAGCTGGATACACCAGCTAAGTCAGAAGCACAAAGGAGCATGCAACCAGAGGACAGAGAGGTGGGCATGAGGGTCAGTAAGGGAAGATGCCTGGTGTACTGCAATGTTCAGGGCCAGGGTCTCAACCTCTATTGCTCTCAAATGAGTTCTTTTTTACAGCTATCAAAGACTGCATGTTTTAAAGCAGGTTACTGAAGGTAGCCACAAATTTCAATACAAGCATTTGACATTGACTCACTTAGAGCCCTTCCCAGTAGCACTAGAAGAGCAGAGACAACTCCTGAAGAGACAATTGCCTCTACTTCACATGCACAGCCCCAGCATGACATATCACTGCAGAAGTTTTATGACAAAGCTTTAAACCTCAGTAAGTTTATCTTTCGGAACAGCAGTGTCAAAACCCAGGTTATTTTGCCAAATAGTTCAATTTCTGTCTAGTTTATTTGAATTCCATACCTGCCCACTGAAAATGTAGTCTAGTATCTCTTTCATGATATCAACAGATATCCCTTCAAGTTCAATCTTGTACGTTGAGCCATCATCCTTTGGAGGATTATAATTCAATTTTGTTCTAAGAGGAGAAGAGAAAAGAAAAAATAAATCTCACAACTTAGGCATTTCTTGCTCTTGGTTTCCTGAAGAAATAAATGCTAGCTGTGGATCACATGAGTGGTAACAGATACGTTAAAACTTTACAATATGAAGTGAAAATTGTCTCTCAAATTAGCACGAAAAGGATATATGTATGGTCTCTAGTATCACTCATCACATTTCCAAACTGAACAAATACGTCAGCCTTGCAAGCTACCCACGGCATCAGAGAGCCAAAGTTAATTTTTCCCAGCTCACTCATCACAAGCACTCAGAAAGTTCACTCAAAACTTCAAACAGAACCAGCTCCGCTGACAGATGAAACAGAAGAATTTGCTTTGACAAAGGTGGAAAAAACCCCAAAATAAACCAAAACAAAAAAAACTTTAACAAGAAAAAATAATTACAATAAGCAGATATGACTAGAAATATACACTGGCAGCACAAATACTTGGATTGCATTACCATTTTGTGTAGTTTATGATGTTATCAGCCTAATGCTATGCCTGGCTGTAACTAAGCTGTAAGCTTACAGCTACAGGAAACAGCCCATGTGCTGCTCAGCCGAGCTTTAAATATTCATCTGCATCAGTGGACGCTTCACTTATAAGCAATTTCTTTAGAAATACAAGGAAGAGTTTGATGTGCCTTTGAACAGAATGGAGGGGAGCTGGGGGAAAAGATGAGGAAATAACAAAAACAATACAGCAGACAACATTGTTTTCCATTTTCTGTTAGTACAAACACTTCTTCCAGGAAAGACAACTTCAGGTGTTCAAAGGGGAGCAGTCTCCACCAGTCTAATGAACACAGCCACAAGAGCTAATACAAGATCATTTTGAACACCTTTTTTCCATGCTTTAGGCAATGAAGAATACATTATATAAAGACCAGAAAACTTGTTTCACTACCTCTGTGCATATATAGATACCTGCATCTCTATCACAGCACATTAAAATAAAAGCCTTAAAACCATTTTTATATTCATTTGAATATATTCAAATATATTTGAATATATTCCTAGATAAAATAAGTTTCTTAATGTGAAAATCTGCGGCTTTCCTAAGATGAAAGAGTCAGTTTAACACAGTCTTCTGCTGTCCACACTCATACTAAGTAAATACATAAATAGGACTTAGCTAAGGGCAGATTCTACTTCACTTACTCATATCAGAATAAATTAGTTTCTCATGAAATAAGATATAACTCGCATGAAACAAAATCCTAGTCTATGCAGAGCTATTTTAGAGTGTGAATAAGGATGGTAATTTTAGCCCTGAAGTGAATCATATTTGTGGCATTGTTTTCACGTGGCTTTTCTATGCTGCAAGAGACCTATCACCAGTGAGCAGAAGCCCCAGGAGATAACACTACTCTGATGAGTGCGTACGACTGTACGAGGTCTAAAGTTAAGCTGCCTCACTATGTTTGTACAGCACCTAGCACAAGTCATAATACAAACAACAATGATTTAATATGGGTGAAGAAATTGTTCATTTCCTAACACATGGAAGGAGATTACAAAAGTTAAACCTATTCTCTAAACAGTCTACATGACCTCCAATAAAGTGCATGCTGCAATAGTAGACATTGATTTGCAACTTGTCAGCTGAAAACTTCAAAACAGAAGCAATAACATCACAAGCAATACTGTACAACGTGTAGCTCAACTCACGCCATCCTTGCTCATGTGGTATGTGCATTTTCCATGCTTACAACTTCTAGAAGAATGAAAGAGCATGTACACGGAGTTAACACACATTTTACTCTAAAATGTGCCAACGCTTCCTTATGCACATATTCAAAACTGTCCAAACTACATCAGTTTTATGTCAACTACACTCGAGTTTCGGATTTCTTGGTTTTTAATAAAAGCTGCACCTGGGATGAAACTGTGTTTTAATTTAACATAATATATATCAAGGCTTGCAGCATCTGGCTTCTTTCACAAGAGAGACAGTCAGATGATATCTGGAGCTACGTATCAGGTACTTACGAGTAGCTGGTATGGTCAACTACACAGTGGTAACTACACAGAACCTGGGTAGACCAACACATGGTGGGGCTCATAATGGATGCAAAGCATATAACAAACATATTTCATGCCAGCACTAATGGGGACATTACAGAAAGGACTGGTGCTATTTATCACTAACTTCCATCTTAGCATCACCTGTACACACCCAAGCTAAATCACCTCATTGCATGGACTTTACGCTGACGCCTCCTGGTAACAAGAAAGTGTTGTTCAGAGGTTTTGGGTCTTATCAGGCTAGGTGTTCTAGTTACCAGGTACTTTTTCAGGCATCAGCAGTTGTTAACCTGAAAAGAAATAAACCAGCCACTGATGCAAGCCCAAAACACAAACTCAAAGCAGAAAAATAAAAAGCTTTGTTCCCATCATTGTCCTGAGAAGCGGTAGTTATCCATCTGTCCCACCACTTTAATTTGTTAGTTAATAAACTACTAGATTATTTATTTCGGTACAGACTTCTGAGCTATGACGCGAGAATCATTCCCAAACAGCAGCTGGAGGTACTCCTTGTCCCTCACGTCAAGTACAGCAGAACAGCTACTGGCTGTTGGGAAGAGGAAAGGAATAAAATGATAGAAGGACTTATTATAAGTAGGTTTGGGGATGGAAAAGTTTAAGGTAGAAGATTGTGAGTCTAATGTGGAAAGAAAGCCGGAGGAGGAGAAAAAAGTAGGAGGTGTGTAAGTGGAGGGCAAGGAGCCACACGTCCTCTTGCATCACACAGCATCAGTTGTTACCAGCACCCACACCTTGCTCACAAACTGAGGTCTGGGCATCCTTGCAACAGACAGAACAAGAAAGTTTCAAAACACATTTGTTCCCAGTTCAGAGCAGACAGCACATAGTGGTCCTGGTCCTCTATTAAATTTCACTTCAGAAAAAAAGTTTCTAGCTGTGCTTAAGCAGAGGGTTTCCAACCTGCCAATATCCCAGGAGGGAGATGCTTTCTTCCCACCATGCTCTTCCCCACGGTGATTCATTCAGCCTATGATTTCTGTGGCCAGAAGTAGCAATCAGCGAGCCAAGGTGCAGAGATGTACCCAGCTGCAGAGATGTACCCTTCTGCAGCACGACTGCTCCTAACACATGCATGTGAGAGCTTCCTACTCTGGACAGCATTTATTACTTTAAAAGCACTCTAAGCTGCCAAACCACAGTAGAAAAGGCTGCCTTAGTCTTCCTTAATTCAGATGCAAGACCAGAATATCAAGATTTAGAAGCAAATAAAGCTCCAACAGCCAACCAGAAAACCCGTTAGCTAGGAGCAGAGCAGTGCTGAGACACATACAGAGCTGGGGGAAACAAACCAAGGCAGCTTCTTCATCCTGTTTTCTTAAGTAATTTAATTTTCAGCAGTTTGACTCCATCCATGTTTTAAAACAATGTTTTCCATTTTTTCAATTAAGATCATCATTGTAAGTTGAAATTGCTTCCAGTAACACAGTGTTCCACAAATGTATAATATCCACCCCAACATCCTCTTGTACCTGGTCAGAACTGCTTGGCACATACTGCACCTTGAGTAAGTGGCATAAGAACATCTGAGTTTATGTTGTGTTTTGATGTTATGTGTCTGAGACAAATTTAGAATCTGCTCTTCCACATCACTTAAGGAATACAATCCTAATGAGTCATCTTAAATAGCACTACATGAGGTAGAATGAGGAAAAAAAAATTCAATACCTCTTCTGTCTATGTAAGCAACAATATAAGCAAGGTAAATCATTAAAATGAAAACAGGGGCTTCAGAACAAGCACTGCTATTGCTAGGAGTGACAATTCCTATCTAACAGCACAAACCAAATTCAAGTAATTAAAAAAAAAACACCCAAACAGATAAATTTAAGGCTGTCTGCAATTCTTGTTAAAATTAAGATGGATCCGACAACTTACTGCTCACTTTAGAAGAAAAAGAAAACCAGTCATACTTCCAACCTTGCAGCCAAGTTCCCTGTGAGAGCACTGTGGTGGGATAGTTAAGATGCATAAGAAGCACATAGAGAAAGGGTCCATGTGGCTGAAAACTCATTTTCCATACCTTTTACAGCTAACAGTTTATAGGAGGGGAAGTAATAATTTACAAAACCCCAAACAAAACAATAAACAAAATTAATATCAAAACAAAATGTTCAGCCACCACCAATAACACTTGCTTTCCTGATTCAAACGTAATATTGTGGGAATATTTTCACCTTTAGAACCTCTGCCCTATTTGTAAACTGTTATAAAAAGAGAACAGATGTGTTTCTACAACAGTGACATGAGTTACACTGTTCCCTTTATGACGTTTGGAATGCTTTAATCCTTAGAGCCCTGGTGTTTTGGTACTTAAATAGGTAAAGAAAACATCTGTCTGCAAAGACTGCACCTTTGTACATGAGAATGCTCTAGACCACGTTCACCTCAAGCAGATTTATGATATTTAAAGTGAACAACAACTGAAGAATCTGGGAAACAAGACAGACACTTTGGTTTTGATGCTTTGCAACACAACACTTTACCTGCTCCACGTCATCGCACTGCAAACAATGCTGTTCACTGACCTACTTACGCAGAAGTAGCAGGGTGCCAGGAACCAAACTGCCAGAGACAAGAGGGAAACACTTGGAAAGGAGCTCTTTCCAAATTAGTGATTTTGCTCCAGATTAACCATAAGGACTAGTCTACACAAGCTTTGCCAGAATTGCCACACTAGCAAACCTCAGTATTACAGTAGCAAAGCCACCCTTCCAATCCAAAGAGTAATAAAATTGTGGTTTGATGACGTATCCTTTACCTGTACCACTGTTTTGGCCTTCTCCAGAGAGCATTAGCAGTTTAAAATGAAGTTATGCCTCCAACAAATGATTCCAGCAAAGACATGCACCAAACCCAAAACATGCTCATAAGGATGACTCAGTCCCAAAAATGCAAGCAAGTACTTTAGAGATTTTGCATCATCAAGGAGAAAACATAAAAGAATCTACTTTTGATGCAGTCTCCTCCTTGTGCAGGTTTGAGTCTTGAAGTACAAGCTTTCCATGTGAAATCTCATTAAGTCAAATTTAGGATTGACCATCTTAATGGCGAAGTTTCTTCGTCCATTTGCCTTTATCCTGGCAACATTTTCCCCCATGAAGGCTAGTCTTTCTGCATGCAAAAAAAAAAAATCCTTAATAATCACATTAAACAGGTAGGGCACAAAACCATGATGCAGCAGTTCACTCCACCCACTGCCATCCTCCAAAAAGATATTTTACAACCAAATCAGAAGGTTTTCTTTGAGGTCGCACCCTGGCCTTTAGCATCACACATAAAAGACAAACTTCACCACACCCTGCAAAGGGTGCCAGCTCTCAGGATTTTGGCTGTGCCTCTCATATGTCTCTCTTCTTAAGATTATCTGTTAACTGCACCTTCAGGTCTCAAGGCAGAAATAGTCCACCTAATAGCTCAGCACAAAAACCTGCAGAAGTTGGTTTGCTTGGTTTAAGAAAAACAACAATAATGAATAACTTAATTTTTTCATCTGTTGGAAAGTTTAGGTCAGGCAAAAATGTAATGCTTCCTCCCAAGAAAGAAAGAAAACAAAGTAATTCCTTCAGCAACAGCAGCACAAGGGACATGTACAGGGCTTGTGGGCTTCACCTAGTGAAGAGCTTGTTTACCCTGAAAATCTGAAGTGACTCTGACTATACTGAGCTCATCCAGAGCTAGACGTAATCTAAATTGGAAATCTACCTCAACCAGCATGTCTTGCCTAAACATGCGAGTTAGCCCTAAGTAGACAGAATACACACTTGACAAACACAGTCCGCAAGAATGGACCCTTGAGCTTCTCAGCAGCAGTAAGTACCTCCCATCTCATTTTACTTTGGGGTTTTTTAGACAACTTTGAAAACAACCATGCTGAGCTTACAAACAAGTCAAACACAAACAATGCAGATGAGCTGGCTACTGGGTACAGATGCTTCATGCCATGCACCTCGTACACAGCTTGGCCTCACCTATGTGTGCAGCTGAGTAGACCTTGTTCAGCATTAGGCTGTTCAGTTCTTCCCACATGAAGCACAGATCTATTATGTACTGTCCTCTACTAGAAATAACATGACACTGGATTTAGAAAGGTAGTTTGGGGTTTTTTTCTTTGTTTGTTTTTAAAAGGTAGGGAAAAATTATCTAATCCCTGTTGCTCTACAGGCAGCAGGCTATCTGGCATGGAACACTCATCACAGCATCTCCTTAAGGAATTAAATCTTTATCATATTCATGCCATTTTTGTGCTACACACAACAGTCAAGTGTACTCACTAAACAGACAACTCCCAAGAATTCCATTCCACATCAATTGAAAATTTAGCTTTCTTCTAAACAATAGTGTTACACTCAGTAGGCAGTAGTCTGGAACTAGGTCTTCCTTGGAAAACCAAAGGAAAACAGTGCTGAAATACAATTTAAAACCAAGAAACTAACTGTACCTTACTTGAAAATATGTCTTCTTTCAAGTTGACTCCACTTTTGATCTTGTTACGCGTGCTTTTTTAAAAGAAGCAAGTACAATATCATGCCCATGTTGTTAAATTCACCATTAAATATATCAAAGAAAAGCAGTGCCTGTGTAGAGCGTCTCATTCTTGTGACTTATTAAGATCATTATATGGAAAACA